TATGAACATAATTATCAGAAGTATTTAAAAAAAAATAGATGAACAATAGTTCAACAATATATTTGCAAATAAAAAAAATTCTACTTTGCCCTCCGCAAGGAATTCATCTCACGCCTTCTATTTCCACACAACAAGCTGCATCTCTACAAAACAGTAATCCGCCCAGTCCTGCTCTATGCTTCAGGAAGATGGACGAAGAGAAGAATTGAGCAAGACCTCCGAATCTTTGAGAGAAAAATTCTTCAAAGAATATTTGGAGGAGTACAGATTGATGGAAATTGGAGCAGACTGACAAATGCCGAAATTCGATCAACTTTTAATGCTTAGGATGTCGTTCTGAGGATGAAGCTGGGAAGATTAAGATGAGCTGGCCATGTGGCAAGAATGGAGAACGAAGCTTCTCTACGGCACAAGAAGAAGAGGGAGACCCAAACTAAGATGGTCGGACGGTGTGGCAAGAGATTCAAGGGATGTCCTGGGAGTCAGGAGCTGGATGATGGCCGCACAGAACAGAGATGACTGGAGGAAACTGGTGGAAGAGGCCAAGATTCGTCCCAGAGTTGTAGCGCCGCGATAGTAATAATAATAATAGAAAAGGAAAGTTAATTTTATAAGTAACCGAACTCCTTAGCAATAAGAAAAAAGATTTACATATGTTGTTTAAAAGATTCAAAAAAATTCTAATAACGATTTAGCAACCAAATCAAAAAATAAGGTAGTAGTCTATATACAAAGATGTACATTTAAAAACATAGTGAGGAGCATGTTCAAGATTATTAAAAATGGAACTCATCTCAAAAAAAAATCTCTGGTAAAATTGGTGCGAAACATTTTCCATATTAATATAAAATATTGGTGGGAGAGGTACAGAAAGCTATCCCATTCTCACTCCCTCCTATCGCCAGCATCTAAAACATCCGATAATTCAAAAACTAAATATATTTTTGATAAAATCTTGTTAATATTAAATTAATATTTATTAAAATTTTAAAGCTCTTAGTCGCAATAATTCATCACATTTTATCCTTTTCTATACACTTGAAATTGGAATTCAAGAAAAAGAAATGTTCTCGCGGAAGTATACTTAAAAACATCTTAGACTCCACAAAATGTGTATTTCGATGGATTGGCTTTAATTTCTATCAGCATATATGAAAATATTCTATATTTTACAATTATGTTTTATTGATCTTATTCATTAAAAAAAAAAAACCTTTACCACTAAAGTTGGGAAGTACTGTTTCAAGGTCAACGGTTGTGCAGGGAGGTGATCGGGCAAGGATCACTCCCAACCGCCAAGTTTTCCTTTCCTCCCCTAATTAATTATTTAATTAAGAGTACCCACTTTATAGAGCCTGGATGTACCATCAGAAGTGTCTCCCGGCCCCGATCGAGAGTGATTAACGTCTGCTAAAAAAGTACATGACATCAATCGGATTCGAACCCGGTACATGGATATAAAATAAATTATGCTAATATCGATGAGTAAATGTATACGAGTGAAAACAACAAACAGCCAATGCAATGAATGTTGTTAAAGACGGATGCAAGTTGCATCCGCCTAATCGGTGTGTTTATGTTCTCATTCACTCGTAAATACAATGTTCGCTTACTGATAAAAACTGCCCAATGTTTCCAGACGAAGAGAACATTATATCAGATCCAGAGGGGGTGAGGGAAGGGGAGGAGGGATCCTGACTTCTATCTCGAGATTGCGGTGAAAGTAGCAAGCACAACCATAGCCCGGTGAATATTTTGCCGCGAATTTCCAGCAACTCTAATCTTGATTTAATAACTGAATTTCAATGTGCTGTACCGCCTCGAATATTCTAAGCTGAATTTATAAATGCATTATGTTAATGGACCGAGCGCCCAATTCGAAATTCAAGCGAGTGAAAGTCGGCTTTCTTCGGTAGCTTACGCGTCGGGAGATTTACAAATAGTGTAGTGGGATTTACATTTATTTTTGAATTTTGAAATACTAAGAAAGAAAACGATAGTCTATTAAGTAATACGTGCTCAATCATCTAGTTAAATCAAAACCCTGAGCTAGTCTGAACTGAGCTTTACGGAGCATAAACTCACCGATGTTTCTCAAATGACCCACAATATTTCTCTAAAGATGAAGTATGATGTGTTGTAAATAAATAAATAATTAAATTTCCAACCTGTCGATTACATTGCATTTTTCAAATACTCCGCAACAGCTGTATCAGTGTTTATCCTTCACAGCATAGGTAGGCGCTGACTTCGAGGGGCGAGAATAAAAATAGGCAGGGTGCGAGAATATCGATTCATTTCCAATAATTTGATGTAAAAAGCAAATTAAGATTAATAATAAATAATCTACATTAATAAATAAAATATATAAACTAAAAATCGATCCCAAGCCGGGATTCGATATCATCTTAATATAAAAAGAAAAATGCCTATATCGGTTTTCCATATCGCAAGCTATATTTTTATTCATTTAGATACTTAAACAAATAATATTAATTATATACAACATTTTAAACGTTAACTATATCCATATTTCAATTTTCTTCATTTTCAATTAGTTTGAATTCGCAGCTAGTATTGCCCAAATGCGAGACCGAGACAAGTCTTGGTCTTAAAAACTCAGTCTTGGTCTTGTGCAAGAGTCTCGCAACAGTCTTGCAGTTACCTATAAGCTTATTACCATAGAGATATTACTGTAATTTTTTAGATAGAAGAAACTAGATAGCCCGAATGAAAAATTAGAGGAGTTAAATGCAAAAGTATATTGGTTATACCAATTATTAACATACAGTAACTAAAATTGTCGAATATTAGTAACTCTTGTAACTTATCTGTACGACATGTTGTAATGTATATAAAAAATAAATAAATAGATAAAAAAAAATAGTAACTATTTTGCCATAATTGTTATTTGCAAAAATTGATTTTTTTTTACCAGTCTTGGTCTTGCAATAGTTAGGCGGCCTTGGTGGCCAAGACTGATTTTAGGCGACACTATTTGCAACTGATTATTTATTCAGTGATTTTCTTTAAATATAAATACCATTTGATGTTGGCGATATCCATTATTTTAATTTGCTTCTATACTAGAGAAAATTTACTGTGAATTCTTAGCAATGATTACATCAGTAAAATAATCAACCAAAAGTTTTTTTACTGACTTCAATAAGGCTGTGCTGTCAAATGATCCATAGGAAAGCATTGGGAGGAGTCCAATCCACCTTCCCTATTCGGTCACTAACTGCCGAATGACGGCACAATAAAACTCCTGCTAATCAAAACTATTTTTTATTTATTTTTTTCTGTTTGCTTGAATATAAATATATATTTACAAAACATTGGAATAGTTAATCTATAGATTAATGCCTGTTCTTGTTGCATTACTTGGCTTATTCTTCCATGGTCCCATCCAGTTTCTTCTTCTGTCTCAACATTACTTGCAACGAGCGAGAGCTACCCCCATTTCGTTAAAGTAGGACTCGGTAATATTTCTTTTAGTCTGCAATTTAATCTAGCGGTATACGTCATCTAAACTGAAGGCTTGCAACATACTTTATATTTATACTTTTATACATATAATATTTTTATCGTCCAACATATTAAAAAAAAAAGAAATAGAAAGAACAGATAGAACTTGGAAAATACTAAAATATACACGAGAAGTAAAATTTAACTTAGTAATAATGCTAGAGTCTTATAAATATTCCATAGTATTGTTACTTTCCTTGTGTTTCTAGAAAAAGCAAATTAAAAGAACAGAAAATTTAGAAAATGAGTTTTTAATACCATAAATAACGTAAAAATAACGATGGTATACCCAGACAGGTTTACACACTTGAAATCCTCTTGATCATCTGAAAGATTGAAAGAAAGAAGGGTCGCGGTTTTCCTATAAATACGGAACACGAGATAAATATTAATTATGTAGCAAAAATTAAAGTTACAGGGAATCATGAAAACTAAATTAGAGATATGCTAGTTTTTCTCTGCGAATAGAATGTTTTTTAAATCATATTTCATTAAAATATTATAATCTAACCCGTTAAGAAACACCTAACTCATTCCCGCATGGTGGAAGGTGAAGATACATACCCATACATATACATAAACCGGTCCTTAAGTAACTTAATCGTCGCTGGATAGAGTCGTTCATTGTGAGAAAACGTCCAGAAATCTCTTTCAGCGGTCCTCGACTTATGTTCAAACATTTTGGTCCTCCGGACCGGATTGAAACGTTTCAAATTTGTTATGATTAAAAAATCTTTGATTATTCTGTTAATATTCTAATCACATTCAACCCATAAGTGTTACAATTTAGATTGGTAAAATATATTTGCAAATATATAGAACATATATATGAAGGAAGATATGAACCAAGGGAAGCAATTATACAGTCAGCTTCGTCAAAGTTTGACAGTTCGCAGGAGTGCTCAGAACAACCCCATTCTGGGAACGTTCGGCCATCAAAATTTTTAAGGAGAGCACATGTTTACAAGGTAAGGAATTGTTTATGATTTACCACTTTTTTAATGATAATTTCACTTGCACTGCTTTTAAGACAAAATGTAGGAGGAGAGATTCACCATCGATCTTGAGGGAGATGAGCATTTATGAAAGCAAGAAAGATTCTCAAAATTGGAAATGAACTAGTTTTTTCTTGGATTATTATGTGTCTCGATAGTAAACCTTTGGTAAAGTTTGAAGACAACATACTAATATAATTAGAACATGCTTTAACAGGAAAGGTTGGACACGATTAAAATTTTCAAACTTGGGACTGATGGTTTGGAACGTGAAATGCCTTTATTATATTTTTACTTTTTTGGACTGTAGGTAGTCATGGTAATCTGTGAATGATTTGCCGAATTGGCTATAGTTCAGAATCATAAATGTAAATGTTCAGTCATGGATCCTGTCCATGTTTTATTATAAACTTGGGCTATGATTGTTGAGTTGGGACTGGCGACGAGAGTTTTGAATTAGCAGATACCTTTTGGTCGATGGCGGGCCGTCAAAGAGAGAGGGATGAAGACGCAGACAGAGACAGAGGAGCACAGGTGTTTCCCCTCAGCTGTCAAAGATATATATCGAATATTATTTGGCGGGAGTCGTGACAGGAGGGGGCGGGGCCGATAGAGCGCGCCTCGGTCACGGAGTAGCCATCAAGCCTCTCTTATATTTAGTTCTTACATCGCAGATTACATGGTCCTCTCTTCTCAACGTCTTCTGCCACCCTCGTCCTCCGGAGCACGCTAGCAGTTCGGGGTAATTGCAGCCACGGGGCTCGGTCTGGGGTAAGACACGGAACGTCGAGGGTACCCGACAACTTACGGAGTACTTCGTTACCGATCTGCCAGTGACGAAAGAAGTTCCTATTCTCTGCTTTTAGCTAATACTTGTGAGAACCTCAGATTAGAAGAGGATAGAAAAGTAAAGGAAACTTAAATTCATGCACATATAAATAGAGAAACTCTTACAAGAAATTGAGATCATTAAAAATGACCCTAGGCAAGAATGCAAATTACCTGCTTCATTCAACATATTAATGAGTGAAGATTAAAACTAAACGATATTTTACCTCCTTCGAGCTATGATTGAGGGATGATTTTCCAGAAGAAGATAGTTATATAATAGCCTATTTATTAAATCAATTTCTTAACATTCATAAAATGAATAAAAAAATTACCTAAATTAAATGATTTTCGTGTTGTCTCCTCCAATGAAAGAGAATACGTGAATTCCTTAAGAAAAGACAAAATCGGACTTAATTCCTTTTTCGTTCGGAAAGCACCAAGAGAACTTTTTTGTTGGAAATTTCGTCAAGAACCACCCCTAAAGTTTGGCCATTATGAACTCAAGCACATATTTTTTTTTTTAAGGAAAAACAAAATTTTTCTAAAAGGCTTCTTTGGGAGGAATGTTAATAAATACTTGACATAAATTGTGAAAATCATTTCACAAATGGCATATTAAAATAAAATAAAATTTAAGTAAAATACTGAAAGAAAATAAAAGCGGGAGAAAAGAATAAAATCGAAAATTCATCCTTCTAATGGTTGGATTCCATTAGGTTCTGATTAGAAAGTACGCTGCATTAACGAATGGGGTTAGGCAGCCGCCCAGTATCTAAAAGAGGTTAGAAAATTAGAAATAGAGAGAAAAAAAAAAAAAAAGAAAAGGTTAGCCCCCGCAATCTCTTTTTGACCTTTTCAGAAACGGATAGTTACCGGTTCGAATCTTTTAACAGCCACGTTGCGACAGGATACAAACAGGCGTCCATCGCTAGCGAAGGCGGGAATTTCTATAATGTAGAATTCTCCCCTTTAATGTAGATAGATACTTCCTTTTACCATAGTGCAATAATCTCATACCGGCTAGTTCAATCAGTCACGAAAAAAAAAAACAAGGAAAAAACCCACAATTAAATTATTGGCAGGTTACTAGTAATTTAAAACATTATGAAAATAAAAAAAATGGTGCTGTGCGCGCAATAGACAATTTTCACTTATCACCCATATTTTAGCAGAATTAGATATTTTCAGAGTAGTGAATGTAAAAACGCAGCAAATTATTACACAATGGTTTATTATTTCCAAAAAGTTTTTTTTCAAAATTAAGATTATTTTCTATGCAACTTTAAGGAAAATAAATAAAAAGGGTTCCTAACATTGGCCTTTATAATTTTATTTTTTATCAATGATAATTTTCTTTGAAAATAGACAACATTGGTGTAAAAATTTCAAAAAAATCAAAAAACAAATCAAAATATATCAGCACTACAGTAGAGCATATGAAGCATATTTAGAACACCACATCTTTGCTCCAAATTGTCAGATTTCAACAATTTTTTTTTCTTAGTGAAATTTGGTAACTTTTAAACAACCATGACATTGATACATTCGATTCGATACCAACACAGGTTTTCGTCTGTCATGTTGGAAGGAAAAAGCGGATAGTAATGTCGAGGTGAGAGGATCATCCTCGAGTAACCTCTGACTTTGATTCCAAATTTGAAAAAAAATCGGTCCAGTAGTCTCGGAGAAAACCGCGGACAGCGGACGGACAAAAAAATGTTCATTCGCTTTTCGAATTCTACGTATCGTGAAACATAAAACCTCAAATTTTGAGGGGGAGTTGGATAAATTTTTGATTTTCATGGACGATTACAATGATTCATTATTGATAAACCAAAATTACCGACGATACAACATATTTTTTAAAACAATAATTACCGTGCGTTTATACAGACGTATGATATATTTATACTTTTTCAGCTTTAACCATTTCCTTAGACTGTATATTTTCATTATTTATTTAATTTTAAAAAATAATTAAGTGTCATGAAACATCTGTAGTACGACAAGAGTGCCATTGATAAAGAAAGGCGCTGTATATATTTATATTTCATTGGAGGTATTTTTATTTGTTTAAGCACTGGTATATTGCTATGGTATATACAATTAAAATACGAAATAATTCCAACGTTATGATTTATGAAAAATGCCCATGTATATGTATATAATTATAGGAGTCCACATTATATTAATCACGTATAACGCATGGAAGACTATTTTAACTTTTCTGCAAAGCTCCGAGAACGCGTTTGGGTTTCTTCGGTTCTCTATTACGAATCTTTATCAAGACTCTATTCTCCTTTTTTCATTTTTTCTACCAGGTTTTAATATAAATTGGTTAATTATTTCATATAAACAAAACCAGAGGTACTCTAGAGGAGGATATTTTGAAAATTTACTATTTAAGCCCTCTCAAGCTGTATCGATGAGAATAAAACTTGCCATAAATTAAAAAATACTTAATAGCACACTGGCCTAAGTTTAAGCAGAATCGTTGTAGACGTTTTGGAGAAAATTGTCAAAATGTGTAAAATCAATGATATAAAGTACCACTTATGGTTAGCCGATTTTGATGACAAAATTGTTGTAACATCCGAGGCATATATAAAGCTTAAATATGCAGTTCGAGTTTCGTTGGACTTTTTGTTTTTGAACAAGACTATTCACACACACAAAGACAATTTTTCGCGACTTTGGACGTTGGACGCACGTTATTTGGACTCAGGAGACCTTAAAACGTGTATTTCCGTTGAAAACTCTAAATTCGAAAATTTTCACTATAATTTCCCTTACTAAATATTTTATATGTATTTAAGTGAAAGTAAAAAAATAAAAAATAATCATTACATTGAGGAGGTTTCTAAGTAGTGCTTTATAAAGTTTTATCTTATATACATATATGTATATATATATATATATATAATATATATATATATATATATATATATATATATATTTTTTTTTTTTTATGAAGTAATTTTAAGAATAAAAATTAATCACTTTTTTACTATTGTAATTATAACCATCAGCGGTGTTTTGCCCCTAAACCGTAAACGTCAACAACTTCCAAGAACCGTTTTGTTATCCCTTGAGGAGGAGAGGCATTGTTCAACAGTGTTTAATATATGTTTGTATCCCGCCCTAGGGCAACCCCATTGCAATCTATTACAGAGCTCAACTCACTCTTGTCATTTTTAATTACAATCCGTAGTAAGGCAATCATCCTAAGAAATACAACTGTTTGTTCTTAGATGAGAGACATACATTAAGTTAGTTACCTACAGTTTGGAAAACACCCCTAGCATATTATCACCCGGCTGGCTATAAAGAACAGGAAGTTTTTACGGCAAACCCGGGCACAGGTATTTCCAGCAGTGAGCCCCGTCCCATAAAACTGCTATTTTATAATGTTAGCACCCAATTTAAACCGAGCCAGTCCTAATTTTATTAAGGAAAATATTCCCCTTCATTAGTTCCCTCACTTAAAAACATTAAATACTAATTATTAACTTTCTGTAATTAGTTTCGACAAATGAAATACTCACTAGTACTAAAACAGAGAAATATAATTGATAATACTTACATTTCTTAATAGAAAACATATATTAAACATTAAAATGGTAGGTTTGTGTCATTTGATTTCTAATTGAATTTTTCATGTTTATTTTATATTTACAACTGCAGTTCGTAACATGATAGTAAACAGTTTCTTCAAAACACTTCGATGAACTGTTTTATAACGTATTTGTGCGTATTTTATAACATATTCACTCGAAACGTATTTGCACCATAACACGTAAATAATTCATTATAGTGGCAGTTAGTAAATTTTTATTTATTTATTTATTTTTTCTTCAATTCTCCATCCGCACCTGTGAAGGCAGTGACATTTAGCAGATTTGTTGTTAGGTAGAAAATGGTATGATAGGCATGGAGCCCAGCAGCACCTCTCCCCTGGTCTGTTTACATCCTAAAATCAGGAAAGGAGATCTCTCATCCAGCTCCTTTTCAGTCGCCTCATAATGAACATTTCAGCCGTGGCTATGTCGTTGATAAGTCCATTGTGACGTCCGCGTAGTTAAAGATGAAATAGGGAGTAGAGAGTACGTATGTGCTGGTCAATGGTTGGTTGTCTTAGGTTGGTATGTAAAGTCTTGTTGTTGACATACCAGGGAGCTGTAGTTATTAGTCTTTTTTGCTGAACCTGAAGTCAGTAAATTAATTTTTAAAAATATTTTATCATAAAATAACAAAAATACAATAGATGTGTTCCAAATATGATGACTTGCTAAAGTCGAGATTAAATTTAAAAGTATTTCAAGGTGTTTTAATATTGTATATAGTTTTATTCCCTAGAATATATTGGATGAAAAGCACACGCACATGATGTACCTAGATCCCGAAATTAACGCCAATAGGGATCGGTGTCGGACACACCGTACAATTCACTTGCAGGATAAAGAGAGAAATTCACTAGGTAATTATTGATCACAACTAGGGATAATATCCACGGAAAAGAGTAATTATTGTGGTAGGTGGGAAGGCAAAGATAACATTCTAGATTGAAAATCCATGCCTACTAAATAGCATTTATCGTCTCTATTATCTAAACCTAATCAAGAACCTAATAAACTGAATGAAAATTATGGGAATGAACTGAAGAGTATTTTGTATGCCAAAAACAGAAACAAATTTACAGAGAAATAAAAATAATTTAAAAAATCAATGTTCAGCAACTCAGGTTTTTTGCAAATTTTTGATAAAAATACTTACAAAACAATATATCCGTGGTACGGAACCCTTTTTATCAAATTATTAACACCCGTCTTAAACTTCGTAAATAGCTTCATCTCATCGTTATATAGTCCAAACGTTCCAATATTTTTGTAAGCTACCTTTTTTTATCAATTTGGTGACCAAATTATCTTACGATCCAAGTGGAAATGAAATAATTATATACGAGTTTTTAGTACATAATTAAATAGACAAAGTTTGGCGATCTCCAG